GAGTTCTGTCACCCACATGCTCAGAGAGGATGTTTTATACACATGTTCAACATATGCATAATTCTGGGGAGTAAAGGATTCACATTTGGGGCAGGAAGAGCCAGCTGGGGAGTTTGACATCCATTTTTCAGGTACCTGTGACACCAAACTGCTGTTGCTGTCACTGGTGCTGGCAGCAGTCATAGCAGGGAAAGGGAAGGGTGACAGGAGCTGTTTTCACTGCAAGGGTTTTGTTTTTTTTTTTTTTTTTGTTTTGTTTTGTTTTGTTTTTTTTTTGTAGAACTGTTCCTTAGGGCAAGAGGAGGTGGATCCTTGTTGATGTTGGCATTTTTCCTTTCCCTGACACACAGGGCAGGAACAGAGCAGCTTCAACAATGCTCTGACACTCTCAATGCTGCCATTTATCCTCCATCTACACAGTCAAGTCCAACCTTTGAAAGCACCCTTGAAAGCAGTTTATTATTCCTGATTTACTGTTTTATTTCCTCTTTTTATTATGTCCTGGCTATTCTCTTTTTTTCCTTTTACATTTAAAAGCACAAATTATACGGTACCTGTGAGAATAGCATTGATACAGGGGAAGGTGGTGATGGAGAGCTAGAAATTTTGAATTATGAGTTAATTGCTGAGCTGATAATGCAGTAAGCTTCTGGGGGAGACAGGGATAACAGCTTCAATGTGCCTTTAGTGGCTCCATGAGCCTCCTCCCATTAGGAACTGGGTTTTACTGGAAGGGATTGTGAGAGCAGAGGTAGAAGTTCAATGCTGCTGCAGAGGGGGATTATGTACATGGGGATTGAATAACTGAGCCACACTGTGTCCTCTGCTTTCACTGAATTGKCCTCCCTGCTTCCCCACACAGCACAGARCAGCTGGATYAGCACAGCTGGAACTTTCAGTCTGCATTTCTGATCTATCAGCTCCTTTCAACAACAGATCTGGCTGCACTGCAGCTCACTCAGGGCATTTTGTGCCTCCTGGACACACATCACCAGCAGTGTTTGGGCTGGGGATCCTTTTCTGGATAATATCTGGGTAACTATCTCCCAGATCCTTATCTGGGAGATAATTTTTGGGCTGGGGATCCTTTTCTGAGACTGCAAAAAAAGGTACCATTTTCTTCCCACACACAGAGCAGAGAGAAGCCTGGGGGTTGCACACAGAGCCCAGCTTAGCAGAGCTAAGGGTTCAAATTAGAGCCCAGGGTTCAAATTCTGCCCTGCCTTGTTGTCCCTGAGCTCCACGAGCTGGCAGAGGCCACTCTATTAACCAAATAGTTTTGTTGTAACGTGCTCAGCACTGGTGTGAGCCTGCTATGCAGAGATGTCTTCTGTTTCTGCTCCTAACAGCTTAGCAGCTAATAAACACCATGCARCAACCTCTCTTCTAAACCTCCTCTTAAAATACAGACTTTGGTTGCCAACTCYGATGTATTTAAAGCATCTGAGCTTCCGGGGAGACTTTGGAAAGTTAACTGAGTGAATGAGGCACGTGCAGAAAGACATTTTCASCAGCAAAAGGCAGCTCTGGTGTCAGCTCAACATCTGAGGAGAGGCTCTGGGACTGTGGTGCCTTTTGCATTGAAAGGGGATATGTTCCCACGTTTGAGGGAGAATTCCTACTGGTATTCAGGCWGTGCAGGGGATATAACCTGCTGTGGGAAATGAGGCAGGGAAGGAGAAAAATGGGGAACAGAGTGGTGTGCAGCTTCCACTGAGCAGAGCTTTTCCTGGGAAGAAACTCCARTGGGTTTGATAAGGCATCTTTTATCCTCACTGATCCCATGGAGCTAAGGGATTCTAGCATTTTGTGGTGACWAAAAGAACAAATCTGAGACCCCAGGCCTTTCAAGAAGAAAAATTCTTACTTAATTTTTGGCTTTTTCTCTTTGATATGTCTGTGGTGAGGTAGGGACCCAAAACAGATACACCGCTGATCCTTTAGGAACAGCATCTTACGCATTTCTGAAGTCCAAACCCAAGAAGATTCCCTTTTTGATGGCTTCTCGTAGCACTTCAGAACAATGTCCAGAACTGTGAAGTGGCAGGGAAAGGCAGTTCACAAAATCCCTCTGATTCTACAGGCTGAACCCCAGATCTCCTTTGTTTGCATCCACACAGCATGGAGGGCCACTCAGTGTCATGTGTCCCCTGCAAAGCAGACAGAAGGCTTGAAATTCTCACTAGAAAGGAAAAAAAGCACTGAGAAATTTTGAAATTTTGAGCTTTTGAAATCCTGGGTTTGGGGAAATGCGTTTTACTCTGGCGGTCAGCACCAGTGCAGAAAGGAGAATTCAAAAATGCCAAAGTGACCTTTCAGTGGCCACTGGCAGCCTGCCAAGCAAAATCAAAGCCTTCTTTCCTCAGTACCAGTTACTGATGGTGTTATTAATTCCTTTTTTTTTTTTTTTTTTCCTTTGCACAGGACAGGGCTGGAGGCCATCATGGAGACCTAYGCCTTCTGGAGGCCCCCGGTGCGCACTCTGACCTTCGAGGATTTCACCAGCATGCAAAAACAGCAAGGTGAGAGCACAAAGGGATGGAAAGAGTGGGAAAGGGGCAGGAGAAGAGAGGGGTGAGAGCACAAAGGGATGGGAAGAGTGGGAAAGGGGCAGGAGAAGAGAGGGGTGAGAGCACAAAGGGATGGGAAGAGTGGGAAAGGGGCAGGAGAAGAGAGGGGTGAGAGCACAGAGGGATGGGAAGTGCTGGGCAAGGAGCAGGAGAAGAGAGGGGGTGAGAGCAGTGACGCATTTTGCTGTGTGCAACGATTGGAACGGGGATGTCACGGGATTGTTGATCTCCTGATTGAAGGGAGAGGACACAGAGCAGAGAGGGGGATGGAAACAGAGGACAGGCAATGCCCCCATGTGAGTCCCTTGGAACCCATAGAGATAGAAAGAGGAGCAGGAAGGGTTGTAGGATCAGCCAAACCAGCCCAAGTACAGGGCATGAGTTAAATGTGAAAAGAGCCCACTTGAAAGGAAAGCTGCCTTGAGAGCTCACCAGTCAAGGTTAAGATGTTTGACCCTTGCAGATTTGATATGCACGTGTCAGAACAGTAATTTAATTGTGATTTTTTTATCTGCTGCAAGCCTAGTGATAAATCACATCATGTGATTCTCATATGGAATTCTGTCCAGGAGGCACTTCTTACCCAATGTACCTTTGATTTCACTKCTTGATCTTGAGCACAGAAGGACTGAGGAAATGCTCAACCATCACTCTCCATTTACAGTTTGCATTTGCCATTTGTATGCAAACACAAGGGGAATGGGGGGTGCCCTCTGGAACCTTCAGGAGGCCAAGAATGTGTCTTCCCTGATTTCAAACCCCAGTGGCCTTGCTGGAGACGGTTTCTGCTGCTAAGAATCTGGGAGGAATTATTGGATAGGCCAAGTGCTATCCACTTGTTCATGCTGTGTCTTTTCATAGCTTCTGCCCTTTCCATATCTCATTGGTTAAGTAGGGCTTTCATCTCTGGTTTCAGGCCATGTTGCTATTTTGCTTTTCGCAGGGATCGGTGTTTCCCGTTCACTTTCGTGCAGCTATTTCGAGTTAAAAACACTGTGATCACTGACAGAGATATCAAGGCAGCCTGATACCTTTTTTTTTTTTTTTAAATTTTTTATTATTATTCCAATAAATAGGCAAGAAAAGAAACAATTCAAAATGGTGTTCAAATGTGACACCAGCAAGGTTAAACAATCAAAACCAAATGTGTAGCAGGTTCTCCAACCTCTTACATTAGAGCTTGACATCACCCCCAAAACTTCTCTCCAGGTCTTGAATGCACCTGGGGGTGGTGGGTTCTCCTCCAGAGGCTGTTGGGGTTGCCCATCACTGAGGCAGAATCAGAAGTGTGTCCAGCACACCAATCTGTTCTTGCTGACTGTTCCACACCATTTCCACATGGAACACCCCAGGCCACCTGCTAAACCATTTTTTCTGATGGCAGAGGGTAGAAATAAGACACAGCACATTCCACTCAGCTCTGTAAGGCTCCCCATGTACCCTCTTCAGATGACCCAGCTCTCCTTGAATGGCAGAACATTGTACAGGAGAGATTTTGCACAAACTCAGGGGTTTGTGTCGAGGAGCCCTTGCAGCGGGGCGTGTGGTCAGACAGGGGTTAAAGCAGGGATTTAAAAACGCTTTCATCACCCACCTAAATAGAAACAAAACAGTCTCTGCTCCTGGTCACAGCTTCTCTGCAGTGTCTCACCCCCTGTTCAGCCTCACCCACCTCCCTCCCCTGGGTTATCAGATAACATCCCGGTGGCAAGTCCAGCTMTTGCTTACGTGGTAAGGTAATATTAGGAAAGGAAAATATTTCATGTATTTTTAGCTTGTTATAATATAGTTTGGCAGCTGAAAAACCAGGAAGCAAGCCAGGCCCCATGCAGACCACCACCACTGCACCACAGACAGCAAACCCCTTTACTGAAGTTGTGTTCACAGGTTGATCTCAAAACCTAAGAAATCATTATAAAAAAGAGGCTTAGGCATGTGAAATGATCTCAAGATAATAAATCAGAAATTTCCCAGCCCGGACAGCGTTCATCTCACCATTAGTTGCTGTAATGAGCTGATGCCTGGTCTCAAAAATAGGTGCAAAGCCAAGGAACAAACACGCTCTATTTTAATTTCTGGCTGCCAGGACAGCCCCCAAAGTCCAAAAGCTCCATGTTGGTGTGGAGTCCTTGGAATTGCTGGCAGAAAGAGCAAAAGTTAGTGAAGTGCTTTGAAACCACATGTGATTCTTCCCTCCAAATGTGAGACAAGCAGGATATATGGTGCCCACGCTCTTYATCTCTTTGTTTTCAAGCACATGAACTCGGTGACAGGTGCTGTTTAAGAGCTGATACCAGCACAGGTTATTGCACTTCAAATCCTCCAAGATTTTACATGGATGTGATTTCCCCCAGAGYTTCCTCCTCTTCCCCATGTGGAGCTTCAATGCTCTGAGATGCATGGTCTTATCTCATGCCCTTGCATGTTCATGAATCAGAAACTTTCAGGGTTTTATTTTAATAAACTCATATTTTAATTATAGATCTTGCTGTGTTCTCCAAACCTAGGCCAATAAGTGACATTTMTGAACAAACACTTGGGGGAATGCAAGCTTTCATTTTAGCCCCTGAAATGTTTGTTGGGAAATTGCACGGGGGCTACAGGAGATTTTTGGGAGTAGAAATGTTCACTGCAGAGAGACGAGATGAGGGCAGCAAGAGTGGCCACAAGCCTAGGATTGATGAGGAGGGAGAGAATAGATAATTATATAAATAATTATATAGATAATTTATATAAAATAAAACACTGTCTGTGGTGGATAGGAAAAAAAAAACCCAATAGGTTCTAGTTACATGAATTTTAAGGATGTGCTGGAACAGTTTCCCCATAGGAACTGTGGAATTCAGTTTTGATTTTCTAGAGATGGATCCATCTTACTGTGGCAGGAAACAAATTACATTTTCTGGGGCAAAATAGCTGGGCAGCAGCACAAATATGGTGTATTCCCGGCTTTCAAGCTGAATTTTTCTGTGCTATGGTATTTTACAGATTTTTAGCTTTTCTTTTGTCACTTGGCAATTTTTTTGCGAAATAAAAATGCTATCTGACTTTTCCAAAATAGTTTTGTCTAACAAAAACGACTGAATTATTGGGTCAGGTTAAAGATTTGACTGATGACAATAACACAATATAGTTGTGATGACTTTTTTGAGAGTGCTTAATTTATTGCCACAGTTTGAGAAAATTAGAGCATATTCTGAATTGAGCAGTGACTGATCCCAAAGCTGGCAATGTCAAAGATGCCATCCAGTGAGGACAATCCCAATATCACTCTGCAGAGGCTGTTTCCTAATTAATTAATTAATTACCACTAMTTAATCCACACCCAAATGCAGCTCCCAAAATTGCTGGGTAACCTGCAAATGTGCAAGGAAGTCATGTTTTTTTTTGGTTCAGCCACACACAGCAGGATGTGTCTAGAAGTTTTTTGGAAAGTTCTGGCACTGACAAGATTTTGGATAAGTCACTGCACAGGCAATGGACAGTTTATGTAATATTGTGAAGGAAAAGCGCAAATTTTGGTGCAGAAAAAAAAAGGAAAGTGGAAAGCAGAGGGGAGGAAGTTGATAGCTGCAAACTGACATCACAGTATGGTCTTCTGCTGTGTATATTTATTTAAAGGGTGGAAAGAGATTGAAGAGGATTCGGGGAAAAAATGTAGAGTAATTTATTGGATGGAGRAGATGCCTGAGAAGGAAAACCTCAGTTTATTTAGTTAATAAAAAAAAGCTCAAATAGCAAATCTTTATGGTCTCTGCTATGTTGCAGAGAGGACACGTGGTAGCTTTTTGTCACCCACCCTCACAGACTCTTTTTCATGTTTTTAGGAAAAAAACGGTGTGAAACATGCTTCATTCAAGAGATTTTGATTATTTTTCTGCTCTAACTAAATGTTTATCCATTTTTTGTGGAAGTTTCCCCTCATCTACCTTCTTCATACATTTAATTGTTTCTATGATGTCCCTTTTCTGTGCCTCTCAAAGTGAATTGTACCACTCATTTAATTTCTCTTGCAGTGGGAATTTTTCCAGGTTCTTAATGGTTTCTTTAAACACAAGTTGGCACAGAGAATTCCAGTCACATCCACATGACACAATTATCTAAAGATATTACRATCTTATTACAGCAGATCTGCAGCCAGCTTTGAAAGAAAGAAAGAAATCCTCCCTGAAAAAAAAAAAAAGTTGCACAAAATGGTCAGAAAATGGCAGTTCAGGAGCATTCTGGAGAATGATATCATCCACACTGCAGTCTACTCACTCCCAGGGAAAATGGGGSTTTGGGATTATTGAATGCACATGGCAATGAGATGTGCAGAAAGCCAAGAATCTATTAAAGTCTTTAATTGGGATATATTCTCAAAATTTAGATTGAACCTCATCCAGATTCTCATTATTAAAAAAAAATTGTGGCTCGGTTTCTTGATTTTAAAATGGAACATAAAAAAAACAGAGAGAGGTGAAAAAACAGAAAATAAGAGTTCCAGTAAGTCTGCATGATGTCACTTTCTAAGGGTAAAAAGAGCCATTGCTGGCTCCTCTGTGATATCCAGTTTCCCACAGGATACGGTGATGAGAAGATCACCACCAGTGACCGTAAGTTTTGAAAGGACAGAGACTAAAAAGGCATCGGGGCAATATTAGAAGAGTAAAAATCCTTCCTACAAAAGCTGATGACTTATCAAGAAGTGAAATCAAAGGTACATTGGGTAAGAAGTGCCTCCTAGACAGAATTCCATATGAGAGTCACATGATGTGATCTATCACTAGGCTTGCAGCAGATAAAAAAAAATCACCATTAATTACTGTTCTGACACGTGCATATCAAATCTGCAAGGGTCAAACATCTTAACCTTGACTGGTGAGCTCTCAAGGCAGCTTTGCTTTCAAGTGGGCTCTTTTCTTGAATTAGTTCTCTTGGTGGAAACTCCACCAAGTTTGGTGGAAACTCCA